TATATAATTTATTTATGTAGATCAAATTGAGATTTATTTTAATTATGTTTTGTTGTCAAACATATAAACCTATCTTCCAAAATAACATTTTATTAATCAAACTTTACTCTCTTTATCATTTCAATGAAATTTTGTATCGAATTTAATTTTTTGCACACGTATAAAGAAAAGAAGTTTGTAAGACTAATTTATGTTCATGCTTAAGATAAAAACATGTATTCATAGTTTGATATTTTTTAAAACTTATTTAACAAGTCAGAGGTATGTTAAAAATTACATCAAAGGCTATGGATATATATATTTTTTTATATTACCTGTCAAAAAAAAATTTGAATTAATATATTTTTCATTTTTGTGTATTTGAAATAATATTAGAAAAGAAATAAAAAAATTGTAATGATATTGAAAACTCTTCAAATACACTCTATATGAAATTATGAATCACCGATTCGTGCATTCAAACTTTGACTAAGTTAAATTGTTGAGAAATGATAGATAATGCATTGAAAATTGTCATTTAAAAGTACATTACTATTTTGGTTTGAGTAATTGAATCTGGTTGAAACTTAGGATTGCATGACGCACACAACCCAACTGCAAGTGGAGAGATTCGAGTTGATAGAATGCGACGGTCATAAGAATATCAAGAAGACAGCGGTTCAATTAATATTAGATATATACACGAATTATTCATACATTCCCCCCACACCTCATTTCAGGATTCATCTTTCTGACCACGTGCATTATATTAATTTATTGGTATGTATCATCATCACCATGTATCAAGCCATTGTTATTTTTTTTCCCCTTTTTTATTTAATTGATCTTTATTATATTACATGCACAAAACAGTTTGGCCGTTATGTAAAATATTTGGCTATTAATCTGAACTCCCCCAAGTCCAAGGCTTCAAAGGTATTAGAAAACTTTAAAAGGTTAACGATTTGCTCTCTTTTTTGAGGTCTTGGGTTTAAATATTTGAATCACCTATTACATTTTGACTTACCTGATCCTTTTGATTTATAGGATATTCAATAGATCTCGAAAATTAATTGAGCTTGACAACTAAAATGGCCCGAACACAAATCATTGGTAAATTTTCTTTAGATTTTGCAAAATATCACTCGCTTTCCTTTAATAATGAAACCTAATGGTTAAAATTGACATAAAGAAGTTGCCATAAGTTTGCATTATTTCACCAAGAATATGCTATAAAGAGGAGTTGCCATTATAAAAGCTTAAGTTCCAATGAAAGTAAATGTACCATTACTTTGGGTCGTTTGTTTAATTATTTTTCTCTATCCTATTAATACTATTTCCAAAATACAAGTTTGTTTCTCTATTCTAAAAATACTATTGTATTTTATTCAACTTTTTAAACCCCCTAAGTTTATTAATTTAACTAAATACCCCCAAAAAAGGTTTAAAATTTGATAAAAACACCCCCACTCACCCACATTTGCTAGATTTCTATCGAAAGGTGATCGGAATCTGGTATAATGACGCACTACCAGCTGAATTTGGCCAGTAGTGCTCCGATCTATCATTTATCGACTAGATTCACAGTGAATTTGGCCAGAAAAAGCTAGATCTACAGCCAAAGATCTAGCCCTTGATGGCCCAATCTTTGGCCCTAGCTGGTCTTCAACGACGGCCAAGACATGACCGTCGTTGACCATCAACGATTGTCATATCTTTAGCCGTCGTTGACGACCAAACATGGCCAGATCTGGGCGTAGATCTGGCCTTTTCTGGCCAAATCCAGCTAGTCGTGACTAGTAACGCCAGATTCCGACGACAGTGGTCGGAATCTGGCAACTGTATGTGGTGGAGATGTTTTTGTCATTTTATAAAAAATTTATATATTTGGATGTTAAGTTAGATTGGCAAACCTATGGGTTTTTTTTGTTAATTTTAAAATTATATCTTGTAATAATCACTCAATTCTACCTACTAATAATATTTCAAAAATACTACCCAAAATAATAAAACAAACACACCCACATTATTAAGAAGGTAACGGATGATTTTATGCATGTGGAATCTTATTAATATTTTTTGAAACCTGACGATAGGTTTGAGATAAGAACCCTGAAATATTTGATTATCCTATCTTTGTTTGAGTAAGCAAAAAAAGATTCGGAGAAAGTAACAATAATCTAATCTATTTGAATGTCATCTGACAAGGAATCTTTGGTATCACAGTAATTCGACAATCCAGTCCACAAACTCCAACCTTCTCAAATTTCCATAATCGATCGCAACCAATCACCACAAATTGGTCACTTTTTATCTTAAGATCTTTAACTCTGGTTGGCGGTGGAGTCTGTTAACTAACGGAGAGGATTATGTCAATTTATTCAAAGTGTCATAATAAAAGGACATGGGCCTAGTAAAGATGAATGATGACTGTTTCAACAACACGGTTGACCAAACCTTAAGCTCCTATATTGATATTTATATTAACAGGACCCAATTCCCAGTTCCCACCTCTTAACTAATTTTAGCTGATTAAGGCCAATTTATGAATTTTGGTTCAGTTGGTGTATCCTCTCAATATAATTGTTCAACTAAGCTTTCCATTTACCTCACATTAGGCATCGTTATAGAGTTACACCAATCAAAAGTTGTACTAAAATCCAAAATAGTAATAAACATTTCAACATTTTTCATAGAATTCCTCACCCACCCACCTCCACACTTCCTTCCAACAAGACTAGTTATCAACTATATAGTCTTGGAAAAGGAAAGGATGACGCCATTGCACAAATTTTGACCCTTTTATTTATGAATTTTAGTTATCTTGTAGTTTCCGTCTGCTACATTCTTTATTAAATGCTTGCCCTTCTGCTTAAAAACCAACTTACTAATATTTTTGACCAAAAAAAAGAAAAAAGTAATTTGACCAAATGCTAGTCATTTATGTACATATTTTCTACGACCTTCCCTTTTATAACTGTTTAATTCAACTCCACCAGTAAAGTTTGTTCAAGACGGGAACCTGTGAACGGTTACCATTTTTATCTTAATAATGTTATTAATGTAATTATTTATTTATTCTACTTATATTTGACTAATTAATACATATCATACTTTGTTTGAAGAAGAAGGTTGATTGAATTAAAAATTTGCAAAAGCTGATAGATGAATTGAATTGAGCTTTTAACATTTCTAATTAAGAAGATAAAATCATTAAACATATTATTCTCCTAAGCTAGCGCCTGAAGTAATGAGTTATAACCGTCATTTTCCATGGTAACAAAATAAAAAGATAAAATTTGTTGATCTCCGTAGAAGGTGGTCTAAAATCTAGAGAAGAATCTCATAGAAAATTCCCATAAGGTTAACAAAATAAAAAATTTATTCAGAAACACAATAGTATTAGTATATAAAAGAGTAATATCTACTCATATTTCATCAAAAGCTTATAACAAGTCAATAAATATTATTTAAAAGAAGAAAATGTTGTTAATTGAACACAGCCACAAATAATACTACTTAAAAAAAGGAAGACTGAATTTTAAAATCATCAAATTTTGATTACTTACCATCTTTAAACGTAAAGATAAGTATGGGATGAGATCCAAATACAATCCTAATTCCCAAACTTCCGTAAAACAGTGAACATGATTATAATATTCTGTAATGGTTTTCTTTTTATGGTTAAAAAAGTATCATGATTTTGCCAGTTGTTAGTTGGGGGCTAATTGATATTGACAATTAACCCAAAAGCATTCATTGAATAAATCGATAAAAAGCAAAATCTAATATGATTTCCTCTCCATTTCCATGTGAAGTTGAAACAGTTTAAAGATAGGGAGGAATAAGGATATGCAACAATAATTATCTCTGGGTAATTGAGTAGTTCTATAAAGACTCTTGAATATATGATTTAAGAGGTTCTAAGTTTGAATCTCTTCTCAAATGTTAATAGAGATAATCATTAAAGCTCTTAATTGATCAGTAGTTTCTTCTAGAGTTCTAAAATAATTAATTGAGATACGCGTAAGTTGATCTGAATATCCCAGATTATAAAAAAAATATACTTATACAACAATAAGAATCAAATAAAAATTGGAATGGGGTGGGTCAAACCGTCTAATTTATCTGATAAAAATGAAGGTATAAGGTTGGTCCATATGGGGCCAATCTATAACACGAGTAGAAAGGGGACACACTTTATCACTCAGTCTCATCATCATGCTCCTTCCTTCGTATCTTCATCTTAATCAATTTCTTCTTCTTATAAATCTCTTTAATTAAATAAATAAATAATCTTGTTTTTGACCCCACACCACATCTCCCTGTTTCCTATATTAGTAATCATATGTCCGCAAACGTCCCACCATATAACTTCTCTTTATTTTCTTTGTTTTTTTCCAATCACGTCTCTTTTTAATATCAATAATTTTAAAATTCATGCTACATTTTTGTCTAAATTAATCAACAAATTTTAATAAAATCATGAAGTTTTTTTTTTTCTATTTTCCACCCCAACTCTACTTTATCAATACCATTCGGGGGTCATAATGATGTGTTTTAATTTTTAACTTAATTTTGTTAATAATAATAATAAGTCATTTTTCTCTATTTAACGGTGCTAAAGGGGAAATTAAACTAAATTTCATATTAAAAAAAAAGGTCTTCTAGAAAATCAAATACATAGTTTAATGTGGCATGCCCACGTGTCAAGATGGAAGTGCAAGAGCAGCAAGATAAGGCTTAAACGTCCATACTTGAAAAACTAAACCCCTAATGCTAATAGTCGCTATCAAAAAGTGGCGTATTGCGCGCCGTGAGAGTCAGAGGGAAAGTAAAACAAAGGCCGTTCTAACTTAAAAAAAATAAAATAATAAGAAAACTATTAACAAAATAACTAATACAAAAGTGAAAAAAGTGGGACATTGGATGCTTTGTTACCAAACAAAATCGCATTAATCTTTCTTCCCTCAACACACACACAAAGCGTGTGCACACGTTACAAAACACAAGTTACAAGTTACAACAACAAGAAGGGAGAGGAAACTGACCGTCCCCTGTATTTTGCAGCTTTTGTATCGCCTAAGACGAGGACTTCTTTCCGTTCTTGTCGTTTCCTCATATCGGCCGATAAATCTTTTCTTCTCAGTTAAACCTCCTTTTTTACTTTATATACTTCCAAGCTTTAACTCTGGTTTTACGGGCGCTTCAACTTTTTGTGCTTCACTTTCCGTCGCTTAAACTCTCTTTGAAAGGTCTGTTCATGTTTATTTCATGGCGAATTATGCGTTGCTGTTATTTTTGTTTTCTTTTTTGTTGTGTTGGTGTTTTTTTTTTTTTTTTTTTTTTTTTTTTTTTTTTTTTTTTTTTGAAAGGATGGAAAGTTTATTTTCTGATTGGTGATGTACTTGGAGAATCATCGGTTGTCATTGAAGAAATTGTTAATTTGTTTTGATCTGAGGTTGTGTAACTGGAAAACTTAGATGGAGGGGAAGTAATGGGAATGAATGATGATAAACTGAGAGAAAGTGAGTTTTTTGTGAGCGGTATGAGCCGAAAGTATTCCTTTTTAGTTGACAGGTTTGGATGTTTACTATTCGTCTTTCTAACATTCTGTGCTAAGATTTTCTTGATGGGAAATTTTTAGGATTGTATTACTTTCTCAATTTTCTTCAGCATCTGCTTGGTTGCTGCTTTTTGTTGACACGTTGAAGTCAAAATCTAATTAAACGTTGTGTACAACAGAAAGAGAAGGAGATGAAGTTACTTGAAAGTTTGAAAACTGATGAATTAAGGATCTGCACATGTTTTATGTTCTATGTTATTGTACAGTTCAGTTATAAATAAATTATGTTGGAATCAGTTAGTTATAAAGCAATCAGAGTCAGTTGTGTTTCTGCTCAAACATGTTTGACTTTGAGAGCTATGTCAGTTGAATTGAATGTTTTTGTGAAATCAGTGTTTTGTTCCGGTAATCTATTATCTTAGAGTTGGATTTCTGTTTATACTGGATGTTTTTGCAGTTGAAGAATTTTTAGGATGACTAAGAGTGAAGACTCTGGTAGTCCTGGATGGAGAGCTTCATTTTTCATGCCGAGCACTGAAGACGTTGCAAGAGCTGTAGCTGCCGCAGCTGCTGCTGCCACTGCTGCTAATTCTCCCCGACCATCTGTAGTTTTCTCATCAAAAGATGAGAACGGTGGTAGTCAATTCCAGAAACTGCAGCGCCAAGTTACAAGAGTACTGAAAGGCATCTCACATCCTCCCGAAGAGCGGAAAACTGGAACTTACAATCCAGAAGTTCTAACCAGCCAAAAGCGTCAATGGGCAAGCTTTCAGTTGCAGTACTTGGTATGTACTTTCGTTCAAGTGTATTCCATCCAGTAATGCCACTGTTTTGTGTATGAAGATTTTCTGGCAAGTGTCTATTTGCCTTTGGTCCCAGCATTTCAATCAACTTTTTATAAACTAGTTGCTTGTATAATTGTGACTAAAATCTTTTGAATTCTTGTTAATTTAGTAAAACTACTTTATTGTCTGAGGTTGATAACATGGTTGACATCCAGTGTTTTTTTCTTGCACATACTCTTTCTAAATGACAAGTTGTATTATTTGAGAGTTCTGTTCATTTTGTTTTTATAACATTTGTCTTATTTAAGTTTGCAGGTTCATAGGTCCTTAAAAGAGCCATCAAGGCTTTTTGAGAGCATGGTAGTTGTTGGACTTCATCCTAATTGTGACATTCAGGCTCTTTATAGGCAATATATTGCTAGAAAGTCTGAAGGTTCTGGTAAACTGCGAAGCGCTTTCAATTATCAGAATTATTCTCGTGTAGAACCCAATCTTGAACCTCAGGTGGGTATTCATGTTTACAAAATGTTGAAATTTGTTGTGTTAATATGTGAAAATGTTTTGAGCATTGGTTTTGCTTTATGTTTCTATTTTCAGGTCTTATTTGCTTACCCCCGAGAAAAACAGCTGCCACTTAAATATAAGGATCTTCTTTCATTCTGCTTTCCTGGAGGTGTGGAGGTTGGGTATATACTTGATTATTTTTATTATTATTAAAGAAAATCAGCTTTTTATTACTATATTAATCCAATTGTGTTAAGTTGCCTGCTCTTGCTCTTATTTTTTCCAGTTCAGTAGTTGTTACTAGTGAATAGTAAAATCTTTAGATGATTAAGAGACTTTCCTGGCCATTTTCACATTCACATGCTTGACAGCAGTCACTCTCTGTAGTTTTGAAAATTCTTGTCTTTCCCCTTGACAAACAGGAAAATGAAATATTCCTGATCAATTGGTTAAGGTATCAAATGTAGTAACCAGAGATGTGTACTTAATTAAGGAAAATGGGCTTAGGATGTGGATTTTGGAAGTTCAACTGATTCAAAGAATTGGTTATATTACTAATCTGATTGTACCTCTATACAGTTATAGTGTCAAAGAAAGCAATAAATTGGTTTTGTGTTATCATATATGTAGCAAATTGATCTCATTGTGGAGTGTGATGTCTATTTTGAAAAGAGTTAAATCCATTTTCTTATTTACTTAATTTGTTTGAGCTAACTTTATCCATAGTCATTTACTCAAGATTGATGTGCCTTTCTTATAGATATCTCATACATCTTTGACGTGGTTTCAGGTTCATGCTGTTGAGAGAACACCCTCTATGAGTGAGTTAAATGAAATTCTTCTTGGGCAGGTATTTTTGCTTTGAGATTTTAGGATAATTTTCTTTGCTAGCTGGCTCTGTACCTTATCAATCTTCCAAGTTTTGTCCATAACCTGTCTCAATAAGTTATAGATGTAATTGAGAAATGGGGTACCTTCTTCTTTGTTGATGTTTAATTATTCTTACAAGAGCATAATTATATAATTATCAAGATGCATGATTTATATCATTATGGTTTGACTTGATGTAAGTTTATAATTATAACATTATCTCAACATCACATCATTATGATTCATCAATGTGGGTTTAGCTGCACAAATTAATTTCCACTTTTTAGCTTTATGTGAGATCTTATTCCCTCCGTCCTCACTAAGGTACATTTCTAGGTAATGCTCTAGGATAATGTCAGGCTTTACGTTGGCCGTCAACAAAAATCTAGTATATGTAGACTTCAGAGGCAGCTGTGTAGAAGATTGAGATACTGACAATAACAGACAGGGTTTATCTGTTACTAGCTTTGAGTCTTTGCATCTAGTTTATATAAATTTTAATGCAGAAAACCTTGTTTTAGTATATGATTCAAAATCTATATCTTTTCAAACACCATTCTTAGTGCTATAATGCTTGTTTTGCAGGAACACTTAAAACAAAGCGATTTATCATTTGTATTCCGGCTACAGGTACTACGAAATGCTGTCATTTTGTCTCTACTTTCATTATTCCTTCTATTATTTATTTTTGTTGTGTCTTTCTTTAATAAGCGTTTATCATTTCCTCTTTCCATGAAATTTTTGTTAAACTTCAACTTCTAGTAGTAGTTTATTGAATGTCTGGGCATCACAGTATTTTGCTGATGATCCCATTCAATGTCTGCTGGTTGTCATTTGCATATCCGAAGCTGATCTACTATTGTAATTTATAAGATGGTCAGCTTTTTATTAGTGCTGTGGGATCTGCATTTTTGTATTCAGTTTATGGCCAATTTCCTTTTTTAATTCAATGGCATTATTGTAGTTTCCTTTTTCCTTTTTTTTTTTTGTTGTTTATCAATTGATGACTATTACACCCTTTTTGATTCCTAGGCTGATGATTCAACCTTGTATGGATGCTGTATGTTAGTCGAGGAAATAGTGCAAAAACCCTCTGGATTGCTTTCCATAATTTCTGATAAGCAACCTGCCTGCCCAACTTTGGGCCATCATTTGCTGACCACACGGAGATGTTATTGCATTCTTTCAAGGCTTCCATTCTTTGAGTTACATTTTGGTGTTTTAAATAGGTGTGTATAATTTACCTTTTGTTAGTCTATCTGTTATTATGCAGTCTTGTTTACTTTTCATGTGATTAATATCTTGATGATGTGCTGGAAATCAAAAGTGTCAGTGAACTAAATATATTCTGGAATATCTTTATGGAATATTTTTATGAGTGGTGGATGTCATTTCTGTTATGATTCTAGTCGAATAATTGTTCTGTTGCATGTCTCATTAAACGATGGAAAACCTGGGACATTGTACTTAGAAATGAATGAAAAAAGAAAAAGCGGCCGGGTTTTCTTATTTGGTGCTTTATAATTAATTGCTGTGAAGTGGGTGCAAATTTGCGGATGCCATAGTTTAAGTGCTGGGAGGTCTGACAAAGCTAGCCTTTTATATTTATGAGTGTTTTTTGTGCATTACTTGTCTAACCTGGTAATGTGTCTTACATCCAAATTGCATTAAGCTTATTGTTTGGTGGAACCATATTTAAAAGATGAAGCTAAACAAATCAATATATGCTTTTTGAACGATTGTGCAAATATGCTATGGCAGAGATGATTTTTGTTTAATGTAGAATTTAATTTGACATTGGTACTATATAAAACCTAATAAGAAATATCAGCTTTACAAAAAGTATCTTTAGATTTGTGCTCATGTATTATTTATTTATTTATTTTTTGTAGCATCTTTGTGGAAGAAAGATTGGAACGGTTAATGAAAGGCATGGAAGATTTAGATTTTGGATCCTTGGGCAAGGAAGAAAATTTAGATGATATGCCGTTGGATCAAACAGCTGTAGAGGACTTGGTGAATGGAACAGCTGAGATTTCTGAATTAAATGTGGGTGTTTCAACATCTGGAAGAATTACTGATGGTGGTAGTCACCTGGAGAATCAGATACTTGAGGGGGATGTTGACTTGTTGAAAAAGGGTGTCAATGATGATGCTGCCTCTCCAATAGATTTCGAACCTAAGATGATTAGAACTGAAGGAGAACCAGGTGGTGCAAACCTTGAAGATTTTCACAGCAATCCAGACAATTTCTCTACAAACAAGCAAGCAGTAGAAAGACGTTTACCAAATGCTGTCCTGCCACTCCTGCGTTATTATCAGTATGAAAGCTCTGATTCCTCCCCCAGGTATGTTGTTGCAGTTCTTTGATGTCTTTAAATATTTTCATGATTATAGGCTTTTTGTTGGTGAATTGTTGCTTAAACATTTTCAAAGCCTATACAACTTTAAGTGGAATCTCTCTGTTTCTAAATTTATTTGATGATCCTGACAATAGCAGATTTGGGGTTTGGGACTTATAGTCATGACTTTGACAATTTTAGAAGAACTTTGTGAAAAAATGATTTGTGTTATAAATAAAATATATTTTGAGAAGATTAATCTCTTTTGTGCCAAATTATTTGGTCTAATGCCAAAAAGAATTTAAGGCAGTAAAAAAACCGCTTAATAAATGTTACGGGAAGACTTGTGCATATTGGGGACCAAGCTTTTCTAACTCTCTTTCTTGATGTGCATTATTGAGTGTAGTGTGTCTGAGCATGGAAATGGGATTTTAATGTCAGAGGCAACATCTATAACGATCGTACCTTTAATACTAACTGTTAAATCTACCCCTGCAATCAAAATTCCTGTCTCTGTCTTGACTGTGGTGGTTTACTGTTGCTGTGCTTGTTGGTGGTAGTGCTAATGGTTATGGAGTGACAATTGCTCTAACTTCTCTATCATAACATCAACTTTTTTCACAGTTTAAGCAGTAATCCACTAACTCCAACCTTGAGGAAAAGTATTGTATATTTTGCATCTGTATTTTTGAAGTTTAAAGACAGATGAGATATCATGGTCACAAGTAACCATGTAGCTTATTACCCTAGCTAACCTTTGCTTTTAGGTATCTACTAGAACTAGATAGCTTACAGTTGTGTGATTGAATTAANAATGTCTGGGCATCACAGTATTTTGCTGATGATCCCATTCAATGTCTGCTGGTTGTCATTTGCATATCTGAGCCTGATCTACTATTGTAATTTATAAGATGGTCAGCTTTTTATGAGTGCTGTGGGATCTGCATTTTTGTATTCAGTTTATGGCCAATTTCCTTTTTTAATTCAATGGCATTATTGTAGTTTCCTTTTTCCTTTTTTTTTTTTGTTGTTTATCAATTGATGACTATTACACCCTTTTTGATTCCTAGGCTGATGATTCAACCTTGTATGGATGCTGTATGTTAGTCGAGGAAATAGTGCAAAAACCCTCTGGATTGCTTTCCATAATTTCTGATAAGCAACCTGCCTGCCCAACTTTGGGCCATCATTTGCTGACCACACGGAGATGTTATTGCATTCTTTCAAGGCTTCCATTCTTTGAGTTACATTTTGGTGTTTTAAATAGGTGTGTATAATTTACCTTTTGTTAGTCTATCTGTTATTATGCAGTCTTGTTTACTTTTCATGTGATTAATATCTTGATGATGTGCTGGAAATCAAAAGTGTCAGTGAACTAAATATATTCTGGAATATCTTTATGGAATATTTTTATGAGTGGTGGATGTCATTTCTGTTATGATTCTAGTCGAATAATTGTTCTGTTGCATGTCTCATTAAACGATGGAAAACCTGGGACATTGTACTTAGAAATGAATGAAAAAAGAAAAAGCGGCCGGGTTTTCTTATTTGGTGCTTTATAATTAATTGCTGTGAAGTGGGTGCAAATTTGCGGATGCCATAGTTTAAGTGCTGGGAGGTCTGACAAAGCTAGCCTTTTATATTTATGAGTGTTTTTTGTGCATTACTTGTCTAACCTGGTAATGTGTCTTACATCCAAATTGCATTAAGCTTATTGTTTGGTGGAACCATATTTAAAAGATGAAGCTAAACAAATCAATATATGCTTTTTGAACGATTGTGCAAATATGCTATGGCAGAGATGATTTTTGTTTAATGTAGAATTTAATTTGACATTGGTACTATATAAAACCTAATAAGAAATATCAGCTTTACAAAAAGTATCTTTAGATTTGTGCTCATGTATTATTTATTTATTTATTTTTTGTAGCATCTTTGTGGAAGAAAGATTGGAACGGTTAATGAAAGGCATGGAAGATTTAGATTTTGGATCCTTGGGCAAGGAAGAAAATTTAGATGATATGCCGTTGGATCAAACAGCTGTAGAGGACTTGGTGAATGGAACAGCTGAGATTTCTGAATTAAATGTGGGTGTTTCAACATCTGGAAGAATTACTGATGGTGGTAGTCACCTGGAGAATCAGATACTTGAGGGGGATGTTGACTTGTTGAAAAAGGGTGTCAATGATGATGCTGCCTCTCCAATAGATTTCGAACCTAAGATGATTAGAACTGAAGGAGAACCAGGTGGTGCAAACCTTGAAGATTTTCATAGCGATCCAGACAATTTCTCTACAAACAAGCAAGCAGTAGAAAGACGTTTACCAAATGCTGTCCTGCCACTCCTGCGGTATTATCAGTATGAAAGCTCTGATTCCTCCCCCAGGTATGTTGTTGCAGTTCTTTGATGTCTTTAAATATCTTCATGATTATAGGCTTTTTGTTGGTGAATTGTTGCTTAAACATTTTCAAAGCCTATACAACTTTAAGTGGAATCTCTCTGTTTCTAAATTTATTTGATGATCCTGACAATAGCAGATTTGGGGTTTGGGACTTATAGTCATGACTTTGACAATTTTAGAAGAACTTTGTGAAAAAATGATTTGTGTTATAAATAAAATATATTTTGAGAAGATTAATCTCTTTTGTGCCAAATTATTTGGTCTAATGCCAAAAAGAATTTAAGGCAGTAAAAAAACCGCTTAATAAATGTTACGGGAAGACTTGTGCATATTGGGGACCAAGCTTTTCTAACTCTCTTTCTTGATGTGCATTATTGAGTGTAGTGTGTCTGAGCATGGAAATGGGATTTTAATGTCAGAGGCAACATCTATAACGATCGTACCTTTAATACTAACTGTTGAATCTACCCCGGCAATCAAAATTCCTGTCTCTGTCTTGACTGTGGTGGTTTACTGTTGCTGTGCTTGTTGGTGGTAGTGCTAATGGTTATGGAGTTACAATTACTCTTAACTTCTCTATCATAACATCAACTTTTTTCACAGTTTAAGCAGTAATCCACTAACTCCAACCTTGAGGAAAAGTATTGTATATTTTGCATCTGTATTTTTGAAGTTTAAAGACAGATGAGATATCATGGTCACAAGTAACCATGTAGCTTATTACCCTAGCTAACCTTTGCTTTTAGGTATCTACTAGAACTAGATAGCTTACAGTTGTGTGATTGAATTAACAATAATACTATATTTATAAAGAAATCTTACAAAGATTTCCATACAAAGTAAGGTGGCAAAAAATGAATGGAAGAGTGAAACAAAAAGTCAAACTCATTAAATTCACTCTTCCATTCATTTTTTGCCACATCATTTTGTATGGAGATCTTTGTAAAATTTCTTTGTAAGTGTAGTATTACTCTTGAATTAAAGGTTGAGTATTAGATTTATGTCCAATCATTCATGTGATTAATTGTAATTCTTATTTAAATTTATCTGTCGCCTGATCAAATCAATATTGGGTTGCTTAAACAACTTGGTAGACTATAATTTTTCTGTATATTGACCTCAATGGCAAATTTTGATGTATTGTTAGAGAGCTTTGCTTTTATTATCACATCTTGTGAGGCATGACTGGCCTGAAAGTATTGTTGCGTTGTTTACATTGCAATCTTGCATTTAATGGATTGTGTAACAAATTGTCATTTTTGATATTGTGGGTTTGCATTACATTGATAGAGAGTAAACTTTTTGCCTTCTCTTATATCTTGCTTTTGTGATTACTAGAGCTGCTTTAACATGTCTTTTAAAAAATGTTTTATGCAGTTTTCAGGGTTCTCCCTGTGAAGACAGGAATTTTAGGAGTGATGTTGATGATACAGAGACAGACGAAACATCTGTCTCTGGGCAGGAAGATTCTGGTGATAATATTGATATTCTTGAATGGGCTAAGGTATCTATTTGTCTTCTTTTTAATACCTTCTTATATTATATTGTGTGGGCATCTTCTATGTCTCTTTTGACAGTTTGACCAATTTTTCACCAAATTTTCAGGCAAATAACCATGGATCATTGCAAATTTTGTGTGAGTATTACCACTTACGTTGCCCTGCAAGGGGTGCAAAACTTCGTTTTCATCCATTGGAACACCTTCATCCCTTGGAATATCATAGACCAGATGAAACGGTCTTACACACTGCTGGATCAACTATTGATTTGAGATCATGCAGTTCTAGTCTGGAATTTGTGGAGGTAGATGTGACTTGTGAGGCCATGTTTTCTTTTTGCATATGTGTGGTTAATTATATTCTTTCTTCCTATAAAGTGTTGAATCTTTCATATTTCCAGGCATGGTAGGTCATTTCATCTTGTTGTTTTTGCTCTGATCAGGCTCACAGTGCACTCTGGGCAGAGGAGGAAGCTACTGCACTGTCAACATGGACTGTTGCTTGCTTATGTGGATCCTTGCGGCTTGAAAATGTAAGTTTATGTCTCAGTTTTGGATAATTTTTCGTGAATATTGATCTCCCCTGATTCTAGGTTTTCATTGCATTGAATTCTTGCTATGATTGTTCATGGCTGTAGTCTACTATAATTATCAGGACAAAAATGTCTAAATTTGTGGCATTGCTGTTTTGAGGAGGCAAATTTATCAAGTATAATGATGCTTGCATATGAGAGATGCATCTATGATATGTGAAACTCATCCTCTTGTCATAGAGATTTCACTTAACATTAGTTTTTGCCTCAGTACGTATTGCCTTTAACTTGGATTAGTAATGAAATGTTTTATTCCTTTACAATTTAGTCAAAATGACAAAGATGCTGCATATGCTTAATACATGTCTGTGCTGATCAGATCGAATGGTGTTCTGTTTTGTTATGTTGGACTAATTTGAATGTGTTTTCCTGTATTGATTTTTCATTGGACCTACGTAAAGGGCTAAACATAGTTCTTATTTCTTTCTCACTTTGCAGGTGTTAACAATGTTTGCAGCAGCCTTGCTGGAGAAACAAATCATTGTTGTTTGTTCTAATTTGGTAATTATCTCTCAGAGTTGATGATGGTTATGCATGGGGATTGCAGTCCACTCCATATAGATTCTCTTTATATCTAAATCTTGTTGGGGGAACATATGAAATTTGTTTTTTCCAACTTAAATATGGTTCATCTTACCCTGAAAGCTCCTTGGACCAAGCAGCTCCTGTTGGCTAGTTACACCAATTGATCTGAATTGTTTGTTGGTTTGGTTGGTGTGGGATTTTTCAATACCTGTGTACTTTAGTACTTGGATTGTAAAAGATGGTTTAGTTGGGTCCAAAAATTTTAACTGGGTTTGGTTCATAATTTATCCAAGGCAGATTCCTTCTGTCCAGAACCTTCAGAAATTTTAGTCCAATACTTTGGATCTTTTGTTGTATTTTTCATTTATCCATCTTAATGCTGAACAGTGAATAGAGAAAATCAGTGGACTTATATTGGTTTTCTTATTCTTGGGTACAGGGAATCTTATCTGCGTCAGTTTTGTCTATTATCCCTCTAATACGTCCCTACCAATGGCAAAGCCTGCTAATGCCAGTATGGTTTCCTTTTTTGACCTATCTCTTGTTTAGTGTTTCTTGACTGTTGCTTCATTATGATAATTTGGTGTATGGATTTACAGGTTTTGCCAAATGACATGCTGGACTTCCTTGATGCACCTGTTCCATACATAGTGAGTGTTCATCGTTTTAGTCGTGGTGATACTGATATTTTTAGATATGCATCTTTTAGATATGCGCTTTATGGATGCATTGGCATGTTCAAGTCACATAATTCCAAAGGAGACATTATTTATAGCTGTTTATGGTGGAAAAATCTAAACTCTGACATCGTTGCCATTGCGGTATCTTTACAAATTTTGCGGATGTTAATTTATCAGAAAGAAAATCTTAAGAAATTATCTTCCTCTAGTTTTTTTCCTAAGGAATAAGATAAATTTGGCAATGTGATGCTGTTATGGAGTTTGATTTGTAATGCGTTTCATGTTTAGGAACCATATTAATTTTCCTAGTTAGTACTATTTCTGACACCACATTGTCTAATAAAAGTAACTTTTGTAGGTTGGTGTAAAGAACAAAACCAGTGAAGTGCAGTCAAAGTTGACCAGTGCCATTCTGGTTGATGTGAACAAGAACCAGGTTTGCATCCTATTCTGCTGTTCCATTTGTTATTTGTTCCTATGACTCAATTAGATTCAGACTGGATGTTAGGCATGTTATTACCTTTGCACGTTACATTGATAAACCTGCTGGAGGATTTTATTTAGAATTTTTGGGATCTTCTTGATTTATATAAAGCACTAATATGTTCTGTAAGATTTATCTCAATATTTGCAATCGTTCATAGGATGATTTCATGGTTTACATTTAAAAATAATTTTGTTTTTCATCATTAATGTGCATTGGGAAAATATTTCAATGGCATCCTTTTTGTGGCTTTAGGGTTGGCAGGCCTCCATACTTATATTATTTACTTATCAATTTCTTCAGTGGGTGAATGGGAAAATCAAAAGCTTCAATTTTGTGAAATAATTGCAATCAATATTATGTTTGTGACCTTTTTGAACTATTCTGTTGAAGGAAAAAGAAAAGACCTTTCAACATTTGGAGTTTGATTAATAAATACAATTGTTATTATAGTATTTTATGTGCTGTATCTGTGGATTAAATCCTTTCCAGAAAGGATGCACTGGACCATGGATTGGGTCCTGGAAAGTATTGTTACTTCAAATTTACATATGTTGTGCACTTCTTAGAAGCTGAAGCCAATTGAATTTCATGCTTGTATGTGGCATCTTTTGATGTTGTTGTTATTGTTTTTTTGTTTTTTCCTGATGTTATGCTCTTTTTGTGTCTGTGGATATTTTTAATAATTGGATTGCTGGTGTAACAATGGTGTTTATCTGTTATATTTTCCCTTCTATGATGTAATAGGTAAAGGCACCATCAATACCACAATTACCACAACACAAGGAGTTATTTGCATCCTTAAGTCCTTATCATGCAAAGCTTGTGGGAGAAAGTTATTTGGGGAAGAAAAGACCAGTTTATGAATGCACAGATGTGCAGGTGTGCTTTTCTGCTTAGACTTTATCGTTTTCATTATTATATGTCTGCCTCCCCTTCCCCTTTCACCTCTCGTTTTCTACTTGTTACTTGCATTAAAAGCTTTATGCAGAAATATATCGAGTTCTTGTGCAGTATACATGGCTATAACTCATGAACTAAAAGTTGAATTAGTTATGTTGCAACTACATGTTGAATTTCTATATTTGAACTAGATCTCCTGTTTCCGGTGTTCTTTAGTATTAATTATTTGTATTGAAATACAATTATGAACAAAATCAGTGTTTGAAGTTATGAAGGGAGCTCTGCACTGTGGTTTTCTGGAGTTATTGAGTTGACCTCTTGTTAGTAAAAGTGAATTCGCATTTTATAGTCTAATTTTACGAAATATCAATTTTCAAAACAGTTAGCATCACTCAACTTCTATTTGTTATCATCTTTTGAGCACTATAGCCAAGAAGTTAGGCTATTATTTATCTCATCTTTGTACTTCCCAATCAATTTTTGTTATTGTTCTTCAATTGCTTCTCCCCTCTGTTCTAAGAAAAGATGGTTAACTGCCCATCATAGTATATATTCATTATCAAAACTTGATCTGTTTGATACTGATTCTGGTAGTCCACAAAAATTTAATTGGAGCATAAATGGGACCTTTTTGATCAAATTTGACTTTGGCTCATGGTCCTGGCATGCAACATTAAGTTTTTAGACAATCACATTCCTGATAGGGTACATAGTCAGTGGTATTTTTCTTTTACGTATTTGAGGTTTGTTTTCATTTTTCTCTTTCAATATCACATCCCACATTATGCATTGGGAAGGACATGTCTACCATTTGGGGAATGGATGTATATGTTTCTGGCATGTTTGATGTTTCCAACCATCTTGGTTCTGTGGGAACATTCCCCAGACCTGTGAATCATCGATCTGTCACTTTGATACATGTTCTGTTTCTTGTCTACTAGTTTACTTGATGTTGTTAGTAATTTTGTGGCTCTGTTATTTCGTCGTTTTGTTGAGTGTTGTTTTTATGTGTTGATATGTGTAGATTGAAGCTGCAAAGGGTTTTCTAGCAGTGTTAAGATCTTATTTGGATTCACTTTGCTCTAATCTTCGCTCGCATACAATTACAAATGTACAATCAAATAATGATAAGGTTTGTATTACTTCCAAATTATAATGTTTTACATAGAACAATGTTTGACTGCTTGTACCAAGTTATGAAATATTTTACATCTGTAACAATTGATGGTTCTTCGATTCTCTTTTAGTATCTATCTAAAAAAAGTTATTTAACTCGGTGGAACAAGTTGGTGAAATATGATATGATTCTGTCAGTAGAACCATATTATTTCTTTTCAGATGTATAGCTGTATATCATGTAGAAAAAGGGTTTTTAAGTAAATTATGTAAATGAATGACACATTCAATTGAGCATGACAGTCCAAAATATAATTTGAGGCCATTATTTGGTGCTCTAGAAAGAGCCTTCTGCTGCCTATCAGGTGCAAGGGTTTAATCTTTAGACCCAACACTTAATGTAGAAATTGTGGAAGTTAAAACATTATACATTTTACTCCTTGCAGGGGATTGGATAACAGGTTTTTGTTTAAGAAAAGGTCATTGGTTTCAAGTCCTTTCTGTTTTAGTTGGTCAAATAGCTCTTATGCTCTTATTCTCTACCTTCTGGTAGGGGAAGTACATTGCTTGAGGCACAGACAGTATTATATATTAACTCTGAACTTAATGTATTATTCTGCATGTTTACATTTTATTGTTAAATATGAAATGAAAATTGTATTGCTGTAAACCTGATCCCAGAATCTTCCTCTTGTAGGTGTCATTGCTTTTAAAGGAGAGTTTCATCGACTCATACCCTAGTCGTGAACGACCATTTATGAAGGTCAGTTTCTTTGAGCGTCCAACATATATTTCCCATTGATTTTTCTTCAGTAGTTTATAGCTTTCTGTGTCGTATCATGGACTAGTATAACATTTTTCATGATGACAATTTGGTATTATTGTACTTCAAAGTACTGTGATGTACTCATGACTGCTTGGTGGGTAGATTCAGGAAATTAGCTTAGGGTTACTTGGGACTGATCCTTTTGTTTAGCATCATATCATCATCTGTGTGGGTTAGAATATTAAAGAAAGAGGTTACCCATTATAAAGCTATATCCAGTTGCTTCAGTTAACTGCATTTGTAACCTCAATAGTGATTTATGTCTATACAAATCATCTTGTTAGTGTAACCTTGTCTTGTTTTCGGAAGCAAGTGCATTAATGACTTTCCAATACTAAATAATTAATACTGTTTGGATTAGTAGGAGCCCAGAGAACTCTGACTGATCTTTTGCCGCCTTGTTTTTTTTTCTGATTTCTTTATGCCAAGCAGCTTTTTGTGGACACACAGCTTTTCTCTGTACATACGGATCTTGTTCTCTCATTTATCCAGAAGCAATAGTGCTGTTATGCAAGTATGGCCTGCAATTGTATTTTTGTTGCAACTTGAACGCAAGTTCAGATATGTATGAACTGTTTATTTATATTAGTTAGATTTTAGTGTAGTTCAAAGTTGCTATTTCTTATGATTAAATTTAATAGCAGAAAGTGTAATAAAAACAAAATCTCCTTGCTTTATCAAACACACTTGAATAGTTTTGATCATGAATTTTGTCAGCTTTATTCCGAAAATGAGTATACAAAATTTATTAAGATAAACCAATTTTTGAGGTTAACGTTGTATCCTAGATGTTGTATTACATGTGGCACTCTCTATTGCACTTTTATTTTTATAACAGCTTAATCGTTGTCAATTTGAAGTATTGGATTGACAGCACATTTATCTTCGTTATTTGTGTGGTTACAAGTTCTGTTCTAAAACCCGATTCAATCGGTTTAATCAGTCAGACCAAGACTTGGGGCCTTCTCTGGGCCAGGTTACCACTTGCAACTATTATCAAAATCCTTAACCTGATCGTCGACGAACAGGGAGTTATCAAGTGCTGAGATTAGAGTGGTTTTGTAAAGTGAAGATTGGTGGTTAAAGGGGTGGTCTTGGATTGAATTTTGGACATTGGAATCAATCGTAATTTGGTCAAAAAAATCAAGGTTTGTGCGAGCCACGACTGATAGATGGGAGGCTATCAAGTGTCAGGTTAGAGGGATTTTGTAGAATCGAGATCGGTGGTTAAGGTGGTGATGTCAGATTGAATTTTGGTCGTCAGAATCGACCAGAATTTGGCGGAGAAAATCAAGGTATCACAAGTCACGACCGTTGAATGGGGGTCTATCAATTGTCAGGGTTAAAGGGGTTTTGTAGAGTAGAGGTCAGTGGTTTAGGTGGTAGTGTTGAATTGAATTTTGGTTGTCGAAATCAGTCGGAAAAGCGAAAACCTAACTATGATAGGAGTGTATTTGCTAAATTTCAAACTTATAGGGACTAATAGGTATTTTTTAGAGTTATGTTTGCTAAATTTTAAACTTTATGGATCACTGGTCAAGACGATGATTGAACCGGTTTAACCGGTCATCGTGAGACCCGACCCCTTGGCTAGGTGACACCTCGGGTTCGGGTTTTAGAACATTGGTTGTAAGCAAAGTTTTAATATCCAATCCGAGGTGAAACCTGGTTAAGGGATCGGGTCTCGAGTTGGACAGTTGAACCAGTTTGACCCACGTCAGCATGATTAGCCTTAAAAATTAATGAATTCCAAAATAAAACAAACAGTCTTCTTTTCTCTGGTTTCATCGACCCGAACTGTGTCTTTGAAAGACTGAACTAGTGGTTGCTTCATCTTCTTCCTTATAATCCAACTCCCTCACAATAAAACAAACAATACAAACCAATGTTTTAAATGTTTTAATACCATGCCAACCAAAATGGCAGCAAAAAACCCAAATCGCAATTTGTCCATTCAAATCGCAAAAAACCAGCAGCCTACTCCATTCAAATCGCAAAAACCCAGCAACCAACTCCATTCCAGTCGAAAAAACCCAGCAACCTCCTCCATTCAAATCGCAAAATCGACCCAAATCGCAAAAACCAACAGCCTCCTTATAAAAACCCAACAGCCTGCTCCATTCAAATCGAAAAAAAACCAACAACCTTCTTCATTCAAATCGCAAAGTTGACCCAAATCGCAAAAACTAACAGCTGCTAATTGAAAATGAATCCCAAAAACAAATCATATATACCTAAAATTAATCAAACACTCTGAAGATGAAATGAAGAAATCGACAGTGGAAGAGAGAAAATATGGGTTAGGGCTCGTTAGAAATGAAAAAAATGGGCAAAAGAAATCGATTTGGGAATTAAAGACATTGACTCGGTTTTGACGGATCAGCAGTTTGATACAGTAACCCCGGTCAGACCAGGTGAATTCATATCCTCGGTTTTTATGCTAGCCCGGCTCTGATTAGTGGCTTGTGCCCGATCGAACCGGTTGATCTGGACGGGCGGGGACGGCTTTTAAAATATTGGGTACTAAGTATTGACAGATGGAAAGACTGATGAATCTTTTCATGTTTGCCTTAAAAGATTATGCCTATCTAATGGTAATGGTTTAAAAAGTAGAAAATATTTATATAGTAAAAAGGTTAGGAAAGCAAAGGTAATGGTGGCAAATGGAAAAGTAAAAGGGGAGAAGGACATATTCTCACCCAAGGTTTGGTGAAATGACACTTTTCCATCCATCATAATTTTCCTGTTAAAAAAATCCATTTTAAAGAAGCGTAAGCGTAAGAAGGTCAATTTACATAAAATCGCAAAAATCAAAATTTAAAAATTAAATCTGATCCGTGTAAGTTGTCACTTTTTCTTTCTTTTCCTTTCCTTAACTTTTTTATTCTTCTCTGTTTTTTTGCCATTATCTCTCCCTTCTACGCTGAAGGCTATGACACCGGCGTAACCTGCAACTGCCAGCTGGGTTGGCAGTGTCAGAAACTTCAGCCACGCGACTTCTCTCTTCTTCAATGCCTCTTCTTCATGCCATAGTTCATCCCCGATACTCTAATGACCAACCTTTGAACTGTGACAAGTCTTTATATATTGTATGAAACTTGAAGGACTAATAATAGAGCAATGCATCAAATCCATAGCTTGGCCAGCATTATTTTTCTCCTCTATACATCATGTGGGTTGTTGCCGAGACAAGAACAATTTCATTTTCTTTTTCATAGGTTTCAGTAATGGGTTTGATTTTTTTTTCTTCTCTTGTGCTTATTATGACTATAATTGTTTAGCTGAGATGTAAGATGAATTTGATTATGGAGTTGAGATGGAGGATGAATTTTGAATGCGATGTTAAGATGGGGGATGAATTTCAATTGTGTTTGACTTAATGGGAGGTGATTTTTTTCTAGCGGATCTGGATGAATTTGGGTTAGAGTTTGAATTAATGGGAGTTGATAGTTTCTGCAAATCTTGGTTGAATGAAAGACTGCAGTAGTCATTCACTCGAATAGTTCATGTGCATCCCCTTAAGCATATGTAAAAGAGCTGCAATTCTGATTTTACCAAACTTCTCCTTCATCTGCAACTTTCACTTCATCTCTTTAAGATGCAATTTTTTGTACAATCTTTTTTGTAAGATTTTTGTGAAATCTGTTTAATTAATTTGATACTAATATCAATTGAAGTTGTTTTACTAATGAGGGGTTTATGGATTAATTAAAGTTAATGATGAATAATGAAAGATTATTTTGAATATGTATTATTTAGATGATTATTAATAAAGGTCAAAAAGACATTTCATTGGTTAGCCAAATTTTAATAAATAATAAAATTAGTAAGTTAAATAGTAAAGGGTATTTTTGTCTTTACAGTGATATAGTTATGGATGTTCTTAACCGAACACAATGATGGGTGACAAAGTGTCGTTTCGAAACTTGACGGATGGCAAATGTTGTTTCGCCAAACCTTGGGTGGGAAAATTCAGTCTCCCAAAGTAAAAGTAAAAGTAATGAAATTAGGTTGGTGGGATGTTGAATCTGGTACGTATATAATGGACAGATGCCTACCTGCTTCAGTGATTGCTTTCAGCAGTGACAATAATTATTTTGCTTCGCCTTGGATGAATAAACAACATATGCCCACCCAAGGTTTGATGAATTCCTAAGTTGGTATCAAATTTACATTTATTTCAATTTTCACCCTTAAAATAATAGTATTAACAATTTTTAAGGGTTAGAGAGTGCAATTACCATAATGCCCTTAACCCTAAATTAATAAATTATGTTTTAGCCCCTAAATTAGTAGAATTACAAACTTACCATTTTATTTTCAAATTATGTCAAAAACACCCTCGGTCACTATACACCCATGTTGGAAACAGCACAATCTGGGCTATTTCTAATGGCGTCAAACACCCTGGTCACCTCCATCACCTTCCTTGTAGTCCGTCGTCCAAAACCCCCCCTCCAATCATCGGTGCCGTTAGGCTTAGGGTTTCAGTGTTCTTTGCTGGATTTCAGTCGATTCTAACGGCGAAAATTCAATTGGACACCACCACTGCAACAATCGTCTCCAAATCTATAAAACCCATATGTCCCTAATAACCATTTCATCGCCATTCGCTGGCCGAGAGTTCGTGTTCATCGGCCTTTTTGGTGAAGTGGTGGACAGCAAATGATGAGCTGCCATGGCTGGGAAGGTTAGGGGATTTGTAGGGGAGGATGCGATGAGTCAAATGGTGGTGGTGGTTGGAGTTGTCATCGTTCAAAACAGTCGAAAATCGGCAAAAACCAGTCGTATGCCGCGACTGCCGTGGCCGACTATCGGCGGGGTTTAAATGGTGGTGACAAGGGTGATTTTGGGTGAAAGAATCACTAGAAAAAGGGCGAAAAACGTCGGAGACGTCATTTGCTAACGTGTGTCGGAGGATTGTTAGAGGCTGCGGTCTGCTAACGTGCGTTGCCTATGTAAAATGACCAATTTATCCCTTTACTGTTACATCAAATATTTTTCCATCACTTTAAGGGTATGAATATGGAATAAATATAACATGGGATACCAAATAAGGATTTCGTCAAACCTTGGGTGGGAATATGTTGTTTACTCAGCCTTGGATTGGCCTTTAACATGTGGTAACAATTAAGTGGCATCTTTATTTATATTAATAGGTCCTACACTAGATCTAGAGCACTGAAAATCTTACCCCGTCCGCAAACATTTTAAAAGACGCACCACTCGGTTATGTATATGTCTACGCATATCAAGACAATAGAAAGAGTATGGTTTAGTTAAATTTTTTGGGTGGTCCTTGTCCAGTTGTTAATTTACTCTTATCATTGAATCTGCTGTTTAACTCTTGGTCTTTTTCCCATTGTGTCTCTTTACAACATCCTCTTTTGCAGGCTCTCTTCTTCACTAACAACAACCTTAGATTGCATTAATTTATTTACAAGTTGTTTATCTGTAGGTGGGATGGTTTTTTCTCATGTTTCAAAGCGTTCCCACTTACGCAAATGCTTCATT